TATATGCATCAGCATTTCTGGAATAAGATGATGCGACAGGAATGCTGATGTTACATTATATGTTATATTAGATATGTCTTTATACTGAAAAATAAAAATAGACGTTATACAGGGTCCTTATATTACAATATAAAATCTATTGCAATTGTGTCTAGAGGTTTGTCCGCTATAATTGATTTTGGTTGTCCTTCGTTATGTGTGTTTTTCTCTTTTCCTAATTGACATTCATGGCACGTCATTAATTCTTGTTTCGTTATTTGTCGGTCATGTCTACAAAAATATGTTTCTCTAAAAATTCTCCATGTTTTGTCAATCCCTATATGTCCATAGTCTGTGTGTATTGTCCAAATGAGTTGTCTAGCTAAGTCCTCTGTTACAATAAATAATTCAGTGTCTTTAATAATTTTAATGTACATGTCGTGTTTTATTATGAATTTAGATTTTTGTTCTTGTGTAAATTTGGTTTGATCTTGTTTTAATGTTTTCAAAGAATATACTCCGTCATTGTCTGTTAAAATGTTTACATTCATTCTTACAATTCTTTCACTCTTATTTGTCTTGTCAGTGTCATCCATTCGTGTTAATGCGTCTGCTACAATGTTTGTTTTTCCTGGTATGTATTTTATCTCGAAATCATATTCTTGTAAAAGTAACGCCCATCTGTGTATTCTACTATTACCAAATTTGTGTTTTAAAATTGAAGTTAATGCTTGATTGTCCGTTTCAATAAAAAATTTCCTTCCTAATAAGAAAAATCGCAATTTATTAACACTAAATATAATACTCGCAAGTTCCAGCTCACTCACGCTATAATTCCTTTCATGTCTCCTTGTAATTCTAGAAATAAATGATATTGGAACTTCAATGTCACCTACTTGTTGTATTATTACGGCTGCAAACCGAAATTTAGAAGCGTCTGTACGTAAGATAAAAGGTTTGTCATAGTCCGGATATATTTTTAGATTTTTAATAAATGTATTTTTCATTTTTATGAAAGCGTTTTCGTGTTCGTCAGTCCACGTCCATTTTACATCTTTTCGTAATAAAGTCAATAGTGGTAACTCAAGTTGCGTTATGTCTGGTACAAGTCTTTTGAAATAATTAATCTTTCCTAAAAATCCTCTCAATGTCTTTAAATTGTTGGGTCTTGTATAATTTTGTATTGTTTTAACTCTGTCCTCGTCCATCTCTATACCTGTGTCATTAATTTTATAACCTAAATACTTAACTTCTCGTTTTATAAATTGGCATTTTAAAATGTTAATTTTTAGTCCCGATTTATCAAGTTCTTGTAATACAATTTTTAAATGTTTCAAATGTTCTTCTATGTCTTGTGAAAATATCAATATGTCATCAATATAATGGATTACAAAATTATCATACTTGTTTAAAATCTGATGTAATGCTTTCACCAATGCTGCACAAGCGCTCTGCAAACCAAATGGTACTACCGTAAAGTTAAACCCTTCACCATCTACCATGAATCCTGTGTACTTTCTACTCTCTTCATGTAGAGGTATGAGCCAGAAGCTATGTTTTAAATCTATTTTTGTGAATATGTTAGCTTTTGTGATTCGTCCTAAAATTGCATCTATTGACATGGGAGCTTCATACATTGGAATTGTATACTTATTTATATTTCTCGCATCCAAACAATCTTATATAGCCATCTTTTTTCTTTACAACTACTAGTGGACTTATGTATGATGTATTACTGCGTTCAATGATATTATCTTTCAATAAATTTTGTATTTCATTTCTAACCTGATCTTTGTAACTATATGGTATGGGATACGTTTTAGTTTTAAAATTTTGAATATTACTAACTTCTATCTTGTGAGTATAAATATTAGCTTTTCTTGTTTCCTTCTGTATTAACTTATTATGCACTCTCAATAATTCTTTAACTTGATTTAAATAATTTTCATCACATTGTATAGTCACTGTATTTAAATCCTCTGCACTCTTTTCATCATCATATTCATTATTATAATTATAATTATTTTCATTATCTATAATATTTTCATTATTTATAATATATTCATTATTATTATTTTCATTTATATGCACATTCATTCTCCTACACGTAATCTTTCCTACTTTCCTAACATAAGCTATTATTTTACTCTCAAATTCTTTGTCTACATTTTCAAACTGTATCCTCATATCATTAAGTTGTATTTGGTTTTGTTCATAATCAATTATTGCTTTATATCTTTGAAATATATCTGAACCCATAATTATATCATATTCTAGATTTGGCACAATTAGTAGCTGTAAATTTATTTGTTTATTATTAATTTTGGCATTTAAATTTAACATTTTATTGGTTGTATATAACTTTTTATTATTTGCTCCTATCAAAGTAACTTGTGGAATATTTATAATGTGTTCTGATGCGTCTTTGAATATTTTGTATACATTTTCACTTATTAAGGACATTTCTGACCCTGTATCAATTAATGCAATATTATCTGAATTCTGATATTGAATTTTTATGAAAATTAAATTTCTTTGTAATGTTTGTTCAAAATTTTCTTGATTTACTTTATCTACAAAAATAAATTCTCGTGGGTGTTCAAATTTACTAAGTATTGGCTTCTCATCTGGTTTGCTTGTTAGTGAAAATTTTGGTTGTTATTTTGGTTTTGAGTTTCATTGGTATTTTGTGAGTTTTGTTCCCCATTGTATTGTTGATTATTTCCGTTGTTTTGTGTTCGGTTTTCCCTAGTGTTTTCTCTGTGTCCTGATTATGACCTATCCCTATTATTGTAATTATCCCTGTTTTGAATTTCCCGATCTAAACTACGACTATATTGCCTTTCAACCCGATTGAAATTTACCCGTCTGTTTCCACTATTATTCGGATTACCATTGCCTTGATGGTTTCCATACTGAGAATTTTGCCCATTATTTCTATTTTAGTTATTATAATTTTGTGAATTGTAATTGTTTCGGGGAGTGTGATTTTGTTGATTATTATTATTTCTATTATAGTTTGTGTTTTGATCTCTGTTATTATATTGATTATTGTATCGTGGTCCATTATTGTACTGGTTTTGTTGAGTGTTTTGATTATTGTTATATTGTCTACTATAGTGTTGATTATTATTGTTTGTTTGATATTCCCTATTTCGAAAATCTGTACGGTTATAATTTGAATTAAATTGTCTATTATTTTGGTTATTGTAAAATTCACTATTATTATTACTATTATTTCTACTCGTACGTAAAATTATTCTATTCAAATAATTGCATAACTGGTCCATAGTATTAATATTACTAATTGCTATATTTTCTGCAATATTATCCCTAAAATGGCGTGAGATATGATAAACAATATCATTTTCATTCAATTTAGGAGTCAAATGTATTGCATTGGCAAATAACCTTAATGCATATGTAGTCATATTGTTTGATAATTTTTCATTAAATTTTCCAAAATATAATTTTTCCTTCATTTTCCCCTGATAAAAATTACCCCAGTAATGATTTGTAAACTTTTCTTCGAATTCTTCTATATTATTTATTTCACTTTCTTTCCCAGAAAACCACGTTATCGCGTCTCCCTCTAAATTTTCCCGGATAATTTGTTTCACATCTTCACTTTCTCTTATATCCTTACACTTGTTTTTTATGCTTTTGAGAAATACCATTGGATGTAATATATTAATTTTTCCATTGAACTTAACCGTGCTGTTGTTACTGGAACATGTGACATGTCTGACTTGTACCCTTTGGTTTCCTCCATCTCTTTGTCCTGCCTGGATATTATTTTCTATTACTTGTATTTTTTCTTGATTCATCTTAATAGTTTCATCCATTCTTCCTATCTGACCAATTATATTTGTTTCCCGATTATTTATTCATACTTCTATGTTCCTACAATTTTCAACACTCTTCTGCACCTCTTGTCCTATAATGCTACATGCATTTACTCCTTCTTGCATCTTCTGCACACATTCTTCTTTATTATTCTGGATTTCTATGTGTACTTTTTCTTCCATCTTATCCATTCTTTTATCCACATTTTCTTCCAATTTCTTATGTTCCCCATTGTACTGCCCTGTGATTTCTTCCAACTTCTTTATTCTTCTATCCACTGCATCTTCTAATTTCTTGTGTTCATTTTTAAATTCTTTCTTCAATTCTTCATTTGTACTCTCAATTAGTTTTATTACTTTTGAAATGTCTTCTGCAATTTCTGTCCTCATGTTTTTATCTCTTTCATCTAGATCCTTTTTCAAATTTGATAACATTTCTTCTTGTTTCTTTTCCATTTCTTCTTTATTCTTTCTATCCCTTTCTTCAATATCTTCTTTTTGTTTCTGAAACAATTCCTTTTGTTCTTCTTTATCTTGTTGTCTTTGAAGATTTCGTTCTTCTTTTAAATTTTGAAACAATTCGAGGAAAAATTTATTTTCTTCACTTATCTCTGGTCTTCTTGATTCTTGTTCTCTTTCCCCCCTTTCTTTAATCCTAGTTACCACACTCGTTTCTTCTGTACTTCCCATGCTATCTGATGAGCTGTCTCCTTCCACCATTAACGTTTTCCCACTACGTAGATCCATTTCTTGTTTTTATTTTGTTCACCCTGTATATAAATATGAAAAAGAAATCCTATTCTTTGTACAAAAGCCCCACGTTGTATGCGACAATTTATAATATATTAAATTTTACTTTGGGTGTTGTAAAAATTTAAACTTTTAAATTTTAATTTATAAATTATTAAATTATTGAATTTTGTAAAATTATATTTTTTTCAAATTATTATTATTTTTTTTAAATGTTATTATTATAAAAAATTTTTATTATTGAATGAATTTGATTAATGCTTATGTCAAAATTTTGTTGAACGCCTTTTTGTAAGATAATTTATGGATTCTATAATTACCTGTTATGCTTATGAATAATTTTAGAGCCTGTACTCCTATCTTCAGGGAAGCGGTTTACTTTATAAACACTTTGTATACAAGTATGATTGACACTTATGTTGAAATAGTTTTTTATGAGAATGATTTAAATTTTTAATGTTGTTCAATACTTAATTCTTTCTATATATGATTT